CTTTGACTCATACAAATATGGATTAATTTCAGGTAAACCCAGTACTTCTCTAAACTACTTACTCTGTATCAACTACCAATCCCTAGCAACTAAAAACTGATTGATCCATCAAAGACAACTTCAATTATGGGCAATTTCAATTATGCTCTTAATGTTGGTTTCCTTTCCTCCATTTCAGTGTATAATCTGTACAATATTATAATCTGTAATATTATTTTGTGCCTTTTTTATATCTCCCATAATATTCTTTTTGATTAAATTAAAAATGGAAATTAGCAATTCAAAAAGCAAATAAAGTTTGTCAGAAGAAACTTATGTATATATAACAGCAGATACACTGTGTTGGAAAGGAAACTGTGTTTCCTTTTTAATTGGACATCTTTATTACCTTTTGCTTACTTCCCTATTTATACTTCAGTTTCATAACAACTATATGGCAAGATGGCGCAACGTGGTTCTCCTGGTAGACATAAATACAGAATTTGGGTGCAGATGAATATTTCGGCCGAGTTCGTGGTTTGATATGAACTTACTTGGAGTCATCAAGTTATTCATATCAGGGATGGAAAGACCTTGAAACTTAAAAAAGTGGGAGAAAATGAAATTGATAGATTCACTATCACTACATGGTAAAGCTGCAGAATTTATCCAAGCTCCGGTTCCATGAAGAACTCTGGAAGAATCCTGGAGGAATGCAGTCAACCAATTGGATGTGGGCATCACTGGATAAAAACTGTGTAGGACGGACCAGGAAGGGTGTACTGGAGGAAGGGCACCCTGTTAAGAGACTAAAAGACCTAATAGAAGTAGACTCTTCCGCAGAAGGACAATACTGGACTACGAAGTAATTTTGTTTTAGAAGCATGCTAGTCTTCCAGACCAGAATTCTCAAGGTGATCTTGAGATGGAAAACAAACTCCAGGAGACCTCCAAATGAAGAAGTGTAATAGCAGCAAACGTCAATAACACCCCCTTGGCCATAAAGTCAAGAACCCAAGTAGCATTTTGCTTTTGTATGCTAGACAGCATATCCAGAATGAAACTGAGCAAATGCCTAACAACTGACTTTTTGATCTATTTGAAGAATTGCTTTTGTAGTTCGGTATTAATACCAGGCAATGGAAGTTTAAATTAAGTTAAGGGGCAAACCAAACCAAAGGAGAACAACCCTTAACTGATTGTTCTCCATTTTTTCCTTTGGGTTTTTTGTTCTTCCTCTTTTGGCAGGAGCAGCAAGCATCTCTAGATGCTTTTAAAAAGAATGATAAGATTAGGATTTCAAGAATGCTTAGAAGTAGGGACTGAGATTGTATTTCAAGTCTGAACAGACTCTGCAACAGACTGGTTTTCCAAGGTCCCACAGGGGTTGTGGAGTGTTTTTAAATGGAACTTTTTGTGCAAATTTAGCCATAAAAATAAATACGCAAAATAACAAAAGTGTGCCAATTTCTTCAGAGACGACAGTGCAAAAATACACATTTTGAGGCAATTTACCCATTTTCTGATGACTCGCACATTTTTGGAATTGCAAATTTGCACAATGTGCAGCTGTGCAAATGCATTCAAATGCACTTGGGCAAATTCTAAGCCCGTCAAAAGGGGGATGACAGAGTGAAAGCTGCAGGAAACCTGAAAGATGCATGTGGCATTTTGCCAATTTGTACATCCTTAACTGGAAAGAAAAAAAGCATAAAAGTGCAAAAGCAGAATGCAGCAGATGCTTTTAACATAATGAATGAAGAAGGAATATTGCTTGTGAGGCAAAGGATGGTGAGTGTTTTTAGTAGTCTACAAAACATGGGCCAGAAACTGTGCTAGTTCAGCTCCAAGAAAAGATAAACACCCCCCCCATGCAGGTTGGGGATGATAGCTGTTGTAGTCAATCCAATATGTAGAGTACCAGGATCAGTAAGAAGGTCTAGTCCATATGGGTGTAAAACAGCATACATGAGCCTACCAGGTTGGCAAGCAAAGGGAAGCTAGAATGCCAGAAATGGGGCAAGATGCTCCAAGGTATGTTTTGCAGACTGCCAGTCTAGCCAGGATGCAGTTCTGCAATGCAGCTCCGACTGCCAGATCAGTGGTTCAAATGCTGGGAGTTTTCACCTATGGCAGTTGCTTTCTAGTGCATCTTTGGCTTCGACGGGCCAGGATGCTAGCATCCAACAAGGCTGGCGAGAGAAGAAGATACAGAAAGTAGCCCTTATATAGAATATTGACTGATGCGTACTGCAAAAAGCTTCATGAGCTGTGCTGAGTGTTTGGCCGATTCCATGCTGTGATGCTGCTGTAGCCTATTCAGTCCAACTGCTTTCAGTCCCGGTGGTGAAGTATTTGTTTTGAGACACTTCTAAGGCAGCGTCTCAGACTGGACCATGCCATGGCAAACCTGCCTTCAGGAATAGGGAGGGATGGATGTCACTGAGTTCGTAGGATTTGAAGCTCATTTCATTCTGTAGCAGCGTAAGTCTGTGAGTTGTTATTTATATCTGCATGGACAGTCACACGTTGGTGGTATGAATTTTCTCCAGATATATGAATGTCTGTGCACATTTTTTCAATGTTCCAATGAACTGCATCACCCAGCTCAGAAATGTGCAGATTTTTGTATGCAGCTCCGTCTCAGGTAATTTACTGGCTTAGGAAGTGCGAATGACAGAAATTTCCATGAAAGTCTCAGTGGAACCCATTTCTCATCCATGCATATTTAAGACAACTTGTAGCTGTATGGTGGAAATCTCAGTTTCTGCAGAGCAGGATGGATAAGGTACATTTAAGCACCTCGAGTAATTGGACTGCAGTTTGACTCCAGTGTTCTTTATCTCTGGGGGCACTTCCAGGAGTCATTCTCTGCCAGTGACGGCAGCACCAAAATGAGAAGCAAAATGGAATGTAGCTCACTAGAATTCATCAGTGGACAATCCACCTTACTGATGTTTTGCATAAGGAGCATTCCTGAGCTCCAGGAGTTTGTGTGATTTGCTCTTCTCTCTCCAACTCCTCCTTTCTCAAGTTTTTTTGCAGTCAGCACTCTGTCTATTTCACCTTTGTACAACACTTAGCAGAATGTTAAAATGCTGAACAAATAATAAAAGAGCAATCCATTACCCTAGGAGTTTCGAGCAGTGGCTGCCCATTTTGTCTGGCAGCCACCGCTCTTCTCTGTTTTGGTCCTCTGAGACAGCTCTGTCTGTCCTAGAAGAAATCGGCCTTGTGGTGGATGCCTGTGGATGCCCCTGGGTGGCCTGAAAAAGCAGCCCATCCCATGGAGCACAGTGATGGCTCTCGAAATCCTTGGGCAGAGGTCTTTGACACTGCCTGCTGCATAATCCTGTGAACTGGGGAGTGTCAAGGCTCAACCTGAAACTTTTGCACACACAACCCTAGGCTATCATCCTTCCTCAGTCATGAAGCTGATACTGCAAAGTATTTCAAAGGGGCAGGGTATGGGATAAGTGCCTGGCTTGCTGCTTTCATCTCCTACTTTGTTTTTCTGACTCAGAGGGTCTTGTGCCCAGCAGTCATCAACCGGAGACTCACCTGGCTGTGCCTCTGATTCAGCATCCATGGAAGAGGAGGCAATTTAGCAGCATCAGCTGCAATTCTTACACATTCAAGTGTTTGTGGAATCCTACTGCAGTCAGCAAAATTTAGGGATATGCAAACCCTTTCAAAAACTCAGCTTTCATTTGTAACACACCTGCCAATCCGGTAGAGAACATTCTGGTTCTCCCCTCGCCCCAGTTAAATCCCTGGTGACCTTCAATATTTTAATTATGGTCATTTCTAGATAAATAAAGCAAGCAAGACCTCCCGCAACCCCACTCTGCAACACTTAATAACTTTAATGCAAATGCCTCCTAAAAGTGTATATCAGCAAATTATATTTTAAAATTGTATTTCTTTGCTAAACTGCCTTTCAACCAGACATATCAAAGGTTGCTTTACAATATGTACTAATACAACTATAAAAGCAGAGTTTTAAAGTAAAAATAATCTTGTTAAATTGGGCCTGGAAACCAACCAGGGGCCAAATGAATTGGTTACAAAATTGGCATGGTATTTCCATATGGCACCATCTCAGTAGCTGATTGTGCCTCAGCTGCAGTTTCTGGTTACTTTTCAATGATAGTGCCACATAAACACATCACAGTAATCTCATCTGTCAAATGGGCTAGTACTACTATTTACAGGTTAGTAGTATTTGAAAAACTTAAAATATTTGAAGACTTATTTGCAAGGGCAATCTAAAGAGTTTACAAATCTTTGGGAGAATAAAACTCAGATGATTGCAAAGAAAGACTGTAATTAGACATGCATATGCAAATTGCTGGCAGAAAGACACATAAAATCCATGTGGTGTCTCCCAGGAAGCTAAGAAAGATGCACTTGGCTTCAGAGAACATAGATATAAAAGAAACAGCAAACAGACCACATCCATAAAGGCAGCTGAGAAAGTGTACTGTAGCAAATGTGTTTGCACTGAAGGTACCTTCTGTTGAACAGTTCTGCCCACAAGCTGTCTGTAGGATATAGAACATCTCTCGAGCATGCTTGCCACCTTGAAGCAGAGCAGTCGAAGCAGAAAAAAAAATAACCAAGATAACAGAATGCAAAAGGAAAATAAAAGCGTGAAGAGAAAAGAGAGAGAGAAATGAGGGACAGCTGATCTAAGTTACCATCAAAATACATTTAGAAATGAGATTAGCAAACTATGGTCAGAGAATTTAAACGACAGACAACGTTAGGATTGCAAGTCAGTCACATATTATGGAAGGGAAAGAAACAATCCAGCCATACAGCTTAGCTAAGGCATCATCACCAAAGCAGGGGAAAGTAGTGTTGTAGTAGATTAAGTTAGCCGTTTTCAGTACAGCACCACAAAAGCGGCCTTAATTCTGAAGAGCTCAACCCTTGTTAGTCTTTTTCCTTTAGTAACATCTTCCCAAGACTTCCTTCCACCTCCTGAACACGGCTTGTTGCATGATGCCCTTGCTTACCAACGATGTCAAACCACAGGGGGATGTTAGCAGGTTGCACAGACACCACACCAACAATTTCCGTCACTCGGTCACTTTCCATGACAGTGAAATTGTAGAAGGGCTCATCAAAAGTTAGCGGGATTGGTGAAGGCGGCGGCTTCTTGATCCACTCAATGTGGAGACGGGCAGTGGAAGATTTCTGTGGCCGGCCATTGTCAACTGCTTTTATCTATTGCAAAAGAATACAGATATCTGTTTAGCAAGTTCACACACTAGGCAATTATAGGCAGCCTATAAATACATGTACCTAAATCTATAGGTTTCGCTCATATTTCTGTCTCTGAAACAATCCACCATATTCAGTTCTTTCAAAGGAAGTCAGGCAAGGGTTGGCCTGTATTAAGGGCAAAGATAATTTTTTCCTCTCTTGAAGCATCTAAAGCACAAAGACTGGGAACCTTTGAGCTACAGACCAAATTTGGCCTGCAAGACTGCCGCATCTCACCTCTGAAGTCCTGCAGAGAGGTCTGATTACCTTTGCAAAGGTCTCAGAAATGGTGATCTGCCCCTGAATGAGCTGTGCTCTCAAAGAGCATTTCTCAAGGCTACAGCTCAGTAACTTTGTTCCTCACAAGGTTTGAAGGGGCAAGCAAAGTCAATTCCAGACAGAGCCATTGGAATGAGGGAACCCAATGGCTGCTCTTGGTAGGCATCCTGGCTCATCATAATTAGGATTCTGAAGAGGAGGACCTTGAAAACTCAGAGATGGGGGTTTGGGGAATTCAGGGAGTGCAGAAGCCTTTGAAGCATCTGCAAGGTTGCTGTCGAAAGATTCCCAGGCTGACCAGAAGAGACAGGAAGAGACAGGAAGGGCTGAATAAGGGGGTGGGGAAGGAGAGTTGGTGCCTTGCCTGGCTGAGGCATTGGGAGAGATGAGCTGCCCAGCCAGAGGGCTTGTGTAGGTCTTGCTGGCTGCTCCTTCACCAGCAGAAGCCACCCTGAGGATGGAGACTGCAGAAAGAGAAGGCTTATACAGGGAGAAGTCCCCAGTTTGGGTTCAATGGGTTCTTCCCATGAGCAGAGGCCTACTAGACTGCTTTTGAAGGTTCTTTGTCTCCCGGCTGTGAAGAGTCAATAAAGATCTGCATTGGAAAGAGACTGTCTGGTGTTCTGGATCCTAAGGGCAAGAAGGGAAGGGCCGAACGCATGACAGCCATTACCTTGAGAACCCGGCTTCTCCCTGTTTCTTTGTGAGAGACAGTGTGGTGCATCTGTGTGGGTGAGTGAATGGTGGTGTGGGATGTATGCATTTTGTGTGCATTCACATCCGTATCCATGTATGGGAGGTCCTGGCTCTAAACAAATGGTTTTCAAGCAGCTCCTCATATCTTCTGCCAAAGAGGAAACTCTGCGGATCTGAGTCCTGCAATGAAGTGGAGCTGTAACTTCTGAAGGTTCCAAAAATGTCACACCTGATATTTCTGAAGGGGGTTGCACACTCTTAAAGGATTAGATTCATTCTTCATGGGCACTCCTGGATTCATTACTGTCATGAGAGGCGCAAGCAGACTGAATGCGACCGAGTGCCATGAGCTGCCTTGCTTCCTCCCTCAACCACCGGCCTCAAGCCGCTCTCAGCAAAACTTGCCTTACTGTTTCTACTCATAAGTCATCCGGTCAAGTCTCTGAGCATGCACAAAGCGGTTTGTTGAGCCAAATCTCGTAACAATCTCCCGTAATTCTTATGATCACATCTGTGACTCAACGGGAGCTCTGTGAAAGTGTGCGCATGTTTTTTCCACATGCTTTTCAACCAATTGGGCTTCGGTCACTGCTGCCGCCAGGTCATGGGGGTTAGCTCTGAGGGGAATGGCTGATCCCCATCTGAAGATTCTCTAGTCTTAATCCACCCTCCTGCTTCCTGGATTCCATGGTGTTCCAGGGCCGGTCTCCACTTCCGCCGCCTCATCTGCCTTCAAGCAAATCTCAGACATCTCCATTCCCTGCAGTATTCCAGGCCCTTGAGCAAAGTCCTGCTCTTCAGTCCCATCAAAATATTCTGATTCCCCCTCAGTTTCTGCTGTATTTTAAATCTGGGTACTACTTACACTGATATTCCAACTGTGTCCTTTTCCAGGCAGGGAGAACCTGGCTACACTCATCTCTGCTCCAGTAACCTTTTGCTACGGTTGCTGCTAGGGATGTGCCAAGCCTTTCTGGAATATGGCCCATTTCTGCCTGTCAAACTGTTTTTACTGCTTGTCCCTTGCTGAGTAGGTGTACTGAGCACAGAGGAAGTCTGCTAGCATTTGCGAATACCACTGGAACATTCGTTTGTGCTGAAATGATTGCATGCATCATATGAAAGCATGTGCAGGTGTGGGCACAGCCAGGTGTGCATGCACAGCCCCCTCTGCCCCTGCAATAGCACCCTCCAATACAGCATGCAGGTGGGCCATAGTTGGGGCAGGTGGGCCGTGTGTCTGTTTGTGCACATGCTTGCTTGCCCGTGCCATGCCACCGCTGCTTGCAGAAAATCCTCTTTCCTTCAGCTTGGCGAGAGACATTTGCACAGTTTGGGGAGCTTCTGCATCACTTGCAGCACATGGGCAAAGACGCATGTGCAGGAGAAGGACAGAAGGACTCCGTGCAGTGGGTGCATGGGAAGCCGTCTACGCAGTGGGGCTTGAGTCCTGGGGAACATTCTATGAATGCTGCAGCTCACCAGAAACTCGGGCTCCCAGCTGCCACCCACTGCAGCAGAGTCCAGGAAGCTGAAACAGGGAATGTGATGGATTTCCTCATAGGGCTGCATTGAAAATGGCCCAGAAACTTCAGCTGGTCTGAAGCAGGGCAGCGAGTCTGCTAAGGGGAGTGGCCAGCATGACCATATTAGCTCAGTTCATCAACATCCGCACTGGCTGCTGGTCCTTGCTTGGGTCCAGTTCAGTGTTGGCAGTCACCTGCGAAGTCCTAAGCAGCTTGGGGCCAGGTTACCTGCAGGATCGCCTCTGCCACTATATACTTCCCTAGGCTCTAAGATCACGTGCAGTGGTCCTTCCATGTCTGCCCCTGACAAGGAAGTCCAGTGAGTCACCACGAAGAAGAAGACCTTTTCCATTGCAATGTGCCAGCTATGGCATGAGCTTCCCAGGCAGGCTTCAGTGCCACCTATACTGCAGACTTTCTGGCACCAGGTGAAGTCCATATATTCCCAGGAATTTTAGTTCCAATCTGTTTTTTGTTTTCTGCTGTATTTTAAATCCAGATACTGCTGCTATACCTTGCCCTGGGTTTTAAATCTATTGTATATACAGCTGCTTTCAATATTTACACATTTAAGCGTTTCTTTTTCTTCTTTTTTTTTTTTAATGCTTTTGATTTGTTGTGAATTGCCCAGAGAGCTTTGGCTATTGGGTAGTAGAGAAATGTAATAAGGAAGGAAGGAAGGAAGGAAGGAAGGAAGGCAGGCAGGCAGGCAGGCAGGCAGGCAGGCAGGCAGGCAGGCAGGCAGGCAAGCAAGCAAGCAAGCAAGCAAGCAAGCAAGCAAGCAAGCTTGGTGAGGGTACTTGCTTGTTCCAGCAAGGGGTCCAGTGGTGATTTACAGAACATGCAGTCCTTCTGTCATTGCTGCCTGCTAGTCTGTTTTTTCCCAGCACAAACTGTTAAAGGAGTGAGAAGAAAGAGCAGCAGCCTTTGCTTGCCCAGTCCTGGTGGTATGAATTGGGCCCACCGGGAGGGAGCGTGCAGATGGAAACCCAGCAAGGAGGGGTCCTGCGGAAGGCACCCAGTGCAGGAGCCCTGCAAAACCAGAATCCAAACTGCGTGTCCTCACAGGAGATGCTGTGTGCATTCTGCAATTAAGGCTCACTTAGGGAATCCATTTTAATTAATTCTTGTGCAACTTAGGGCTTAACTTGTCCCCCAGAAAAAAGCTGCCGAGCTCTCCTTACCTCCTTTGTGGTATATTTCTCTCCAACAAGGCTGCTATGTAACACAGATGGATTTCAATAAAAATGAGGGGGGGGGGGGCTTTTCTGAAGGGTTCATCCCACCAGCAGCCAGCTCTGTGGGGTGGATCTACACTGCACTCTGTGCTTTGTTGTTCAGCAAACCAGATCCTAAATGGGCAACGCTCACTTGCTTCCCAGTGTGGATTCTGTAAAGCACGTTTTTTGCCTCTCACTTGCAACTTGCATCGCACACGCTTAACCAGGATGGCATATGGACCAATATTGATCTGTGTGGCATGGCACCAGACCCCTGCATCCACTCAATACTTTCCTGTTTACTATTCAATTTAGGGTCCTCCTCCATCGAACCCGTTCCAATCCAAGTACAAATGTTCCATCAAAAAATATGTGCTCCACTTAATGTTCTGTGCTGAGTGTGCCAAGTGCTTTTATGTCCATTAAGATCCAGGCTGCAAAAATCCCTTTTTTTGGGGGGTCCTCAACAGATAAGTCTCTGAGCACTGCTGACTCTGGAAGTTTCAGTCCAGTGGAGCTTGGTTCAAAGAGCCCCATTTTGAGAGGCTCAGGTCTGACCATAATAGTAAACCTAATTCTAGTGCCACTTCCTCCAGTGCTGCTGGTCCAACTGATCTAGCTGGCCCCACTGAATCTGGGTCAGAGTCCCAAGCTACTATTTGGGGTGGGAGTCATGAACATTCTTCCACCACATAACATATGGTGTTAGGTAGGCAAAGCCTAATATGTATCTAAACATCTTAATATGTATTAAACGGTACTATTTAAGAGTAGAAAGGAATAGGCATGCGAAATAATGGATCCTGTGATAGCAGGAACTATCTAACCTCTAGGCTGGCCAAGTGCTAGAAAGGCCATGACTCTGGCCTTTTGTACAGTCACCAGTGCTAGCGTCGCTCTGACTGCTCAAGTCCTCACTGCAGGGGAAAAGGTTGCTCCTGCAATCCTTGACCTTAGGATAGGGCCGAGAACTTGTGGCCCTCTAGACTCTGGATTCCAATTTTCATCAACTGTAGCCAGCCAACAGGGAGGGATGATGGAAGTAGTAGGTCACCAGCTTCTGGAAGCCCACAGGTTCCCCAGTTGTGCCTTAGGATGTTGCCACAGCTCCATGTTTCATTTCTGAGCATCCATAAGGGGCAGCCCAAGGAAATTCACATGGCAAAGTTCCTACTGAAATGCACCTGAATGAAGAGACCTGTTCTTGAAACAGGCACGTGTTCTTATTTCAGTAACACATGCTTACCGTTAAGATATCATAGCTCCCAGCGGTGAACTGCTTTCTAGAAGATACCATTCCAGTCTTTGGGTCAATGAAAAATTTCCCATCGTCGTTTCCATCCACGATGCTATAGGATATCTCTGCATTTGGGCCTTCATCCTTGTCAAAGGCAAAGGCTCTGTAGATTGGCTCCCCTCTCTTCTTTCGGTCCCTCTCAGGCAACTTGATCTGGTAAACTTTCTCTGGGAACTGGGGCTTGTTGTCATTTTCATCTAGAACTTGAACCACCAGCCAGACGGTTGACTGCTTGGGAGAGAGACTTCCATCTGTTACTGTGACCTGAATGGAAATAGTGAGAATTGTGGAAAGTGAATGTATAGGAATTACAAGAAGGTAAGAACTGTATGAAATGAACTTAACGGATTGATGCTAAAATTAATTTTTAAAAAGGCAGATGGTCTGGTCCAAAAGAAACATTCATTACTAGCTTGTATCTTTCCTCACAATTTCTCATATCCCTGAGTTAATGCACATACTTTGCCTTCCTTAAGTCAACCAAAGCTGTTTATATAACTCCCCCACAAGTGAATCAATAATAAATAATTATGATATTCTGAACCCACCCACCTCTCAAAAACCATTTCTTGAGTATTTGCAAAAGCTGTCAGTGATTTCTAAATACTTAAATCAGTGGTGGTGGGTACATTACTTCAGTACTTATGTTAATGTGAACTTGTGTAATTTCAGTTTCAAACTAATACTTACTTCTCCAAATTTTGCAAGGGGTTTCTCCAGTAAAAGTGCATACAGAACTGCATATTATGAGAAAATGTATGGAGAAAAAATGTACTGAGAAAATATAAAATATTTAGAAAATAATACTGGAAAAATTGCTTGCAAAAATTGGTGTTATTCAACAGATTTATCTATGACTTACCATATTTCTTTAAAAAAGATATTTAAGCAGACCTTAAAAGTCTTTAAGAAACAGATGAAATTCTGCATAAAAATGTATGTAATAAGACTAGACCATTCAAATGTTCAGGAAAACTTTTTTAAAAGTTCTAAAAAGTCATGCTGAGCCAAGATTAGCGCAGTGAAAAACTGAGGACTCTGAAAGTGGCATTTTTATTTCTTAATTACATTTCTGTTCTCCCAAACAGCCAAAGCTCTCTGGATAGTTCACAATTATTAAAAGTATAAAACACAACATTAGATGAAATATAAACATTTGAAATTTTCAAATTATACTATAAGTGAAAGTGAAAAACAAAACCTAGCAGCAGTGGAAAGATTTGAAATACAATGAAAGATTTAAGACAACACAAACTAGAAAACTAAAATGTCCAGAAAATTAAGGTCTTCACCTGCCACCAGAAAGAGCACAATGTAGAGCACAATGTAGGGACCAGGTGAGCCTCTGAGAAGTTCTGGTGTGGCAGAAAAGAGAAGCCCGCTCTTGTTAAGAGCCACCCATCTCACTTCTTTTGGTAGTGGCTCGCAGAGAAGGACCTCTTTGGACAGGTGAGATGATCCTTCAGGAAGGCTGGTTCCCAGTTGTTTAGGCCTTTGATTCATCATCACTTTGAATGGGGCCCAAACATGGACTTGCAGCCAACGCAGAAGGCAAAGTTGTGGTGCATGTGATCCCACTGGGCAGTTCCCATTACCAATATTACTGTCATGTTTTGGTCCAGCTGAAGTCTCTGGATCATTCTCAAAGGCACCTCCACATATAACATGTTGTGTAATCCAGGTAAGAGGTGACCAGAGCATGGATAAGGCTCAGTTAAGCACAGGGTGGTATTTCATCTTAAATGGACAAAAGCTGCTGCAAGCCACCAGGTCCACCTGTGCTTCCAGTGGCAATGATGGATCTAGAATGCTCACAGACCCAATTCTTTAGGGGAAATGCAACTTCCTCCAGAAGAGACAAACCACCCACTTTATCCTCTCCATCTTGTCTGCCTTGAGTCTCAGTATGTTGGCCCTCATGTAGTCCATTACTGTGCCCAGGAACTGATTCGGAACAGCCACCTTCTCACCTGGATATGATGGAGAGATAGAATGGGGTGGCCCCTACATATCCGTGACACCTTGGCCCACACTGTGAGATAAAATCCCTTAGCAGTTTCATGAAGATGTTGGACAGCATGAGGTAAAGAATAGGGCTCCATGGAGTCCCACAGCTTACTACCAAGGCGCAGAACAAAAATCCTCCAGTGTCACACTCTGGATCTGGCCATCTAAGCAGGAACCATATTCCTACCTCCCCAACTCAAATGGAACACTCACAACAAAGCAATCGCTTCTGAGTGGAACATGACAACGTGTCACCCATCCTTTGCACCACTGATGCTACTGGAACAGCCACTGCTAACATTCGGGGAGAGCAGCAAAGCAATCCCATTGCAAAATGTGCAATGGGAATCTGAGGCTGGCATGAAAGATGACTGGATGCATGGGCTGAATGGGTCAGCCATTCCACTGAGTGCAGGTCAGGCTGCTTTCTGGCCCCAGGGCACACTGGATGCTGGGTCAGGGGCTACAGTCATATATGCACACGCTTGCATGCGCATGCAAATGCATGCACATACGGACTCAGACATACATATGCCAGGGATCCCGATAAAGATCTTGCCAGAGGAGGAGTAGACAGTACAGGCAGCAGGAAACTGGCTGGGGCAAGGAATGGGTGTCCCAGCATCCACACCTTTGTCTTAGTGCAGCACTGAGCATTACACCAGGTAACTTCTTTGAGGCTTCAGAGAGGGTCTTCCCTAGCCCTGCACCTTGAGGGCCTTTTCAACGGGGATGCTGCAGCATGAACCTGGGAAGCAGGCCAAGCCAAAAATGTGCTTCTCCCCTGAGGGTTGGCAGGTTGGCTCTTCCACTCAACCTGCGACTCCGGCCCTAAAAGACGCTTTGGCCATGAGAGGATCAGCTCAGCTCTCTCACAGCAAACATCATAAATTATAGTGAGCATTTATAACAGGATCACAAATGTTATGGGGAACAGTGAGCGAGACAATCTATTTGCATTGCCTAGCACTATTTCACTACGCCAGCTTTAGCACATACCCGCATATTAAAATCCCTGCTTCAGGGGAACAGTTTCACAACCAACAACTTTCTGTTCAGATTTTTGACAGCATGTGTCACCTGTAGTTTTGTGATGCTTCCTACCGCCCAAGGCCTCCTAGCCCTACCACCAAAAGCCTTCTTTTCTTAGGCAAAGCAGCTGCAAATGGCTTCAGATAACAGATGCAAAAAAAGGGGGGGGGGGAATTGTGTTTGACTCAACAGATTTCCTGCCTGCCCCTGATCTGATGATCAGAATTTGGCCAAGTAACTTCTTTTCATGGACTCCTGTATCTAAAACAGTCCATGACTTAAGCATATCTTTAAGTACTAATTAAATTCACATGACCTTGTGGCTATCTATGCAAAATCAGCTGATTCGTGCAAGTCAGGTTAGGAATACATGGTTGCTGTTAATCCAACATGAAATGATTTCATTTTCACTTCTCTACTAACGTGGTACAGAAATGAAATTAATTTTAATATTGATGATGATGGTGTGCTAGTTATTTCCTTCCTCATTGTTCCAATAGAGTTCTCAGCTCAAGACAACAAAACAAACCCTATCAAATGCACATTTTGAGTGAAAACATATTTCAAAATGTGTATTATGAGAGCAGATAAGTTTAATGTAAGTATTCAAGTGCATATTCAAATAGACAACATTGTTTCTTCCCACCATTTCAGAATAGAGACGGATGTGGAGAGGGGGTGGAACAGATCTGTAAAAGAACAGAGGCAAAACTAGTGGGAAAAAGACAGATTTGGCTCTTGGGCTTCTCTAGCACTGAGGACTTTCAGTTCTGGCAGAAGGATGAAAAAGTACATGCTGTCCAAAACTGCTCCTAATCTGGCTTCCAAAAAATTTCAGAGATTTTGTGAGAAACACAATCCTCTCTACCTGCCCTTTAAAAGAAACATTGCTTACACTTTATTTCGAGCATTCCTGTATAAGCCCATGAAGTTGTCCATGGGGAGTCCTTGCCTTTTTCCATGGCCAGCAAACTTTCCCAAGCAGGCTTGGACCTGGTCTATAGTCGGGTGTGAGTCCCTTTTGGAAGGCTATGTATAACAACCTGATTTCCATGGGCAAAAGATGAAGCATAAATAACATCTTATTTACTTTAAAACTTATTTACTTTTATGAACAGTGTACCAGCGTACAGGATACCAAGAGTCATCCTGAGCAATTCTGCCTACTTCTTTACATGACTGCTGTCACTTGGGATTAAATCAGGAAAGGGGAACATTTTAGTGAATTTAGTCTTCTTCTCTAAATATCTGGATGTATATATCGTAATGAATAAATTCCTGAAGATTTTTACCCCTTTGGTTCTTTGTGAGATGATTCAGTACTAGTAGTTTGTATTTTTAAAGAGGAAAGATAAAGGCAGGGGAAGAACCTACTAAATAAACCAATGCAGCAGTTAACCAGCAACGCAATCAATGTAAAATGGGAGGGCAGCACAGCCAGACTGAACAAAATACAAGATCTTGCTTCTAAACCATCAAATGCTGCCTCTGTGGGAATTGACGTGTTAGCAGCCTCTTGCAGAAGTGGTATCCGAGCTACTTTCATGCAAGCAAAAATCAATTTCTGCCTCACTTCTCTAATGTTATAAAATTTATAGTTGAAGTATGGGAGGAGAAAGTTGAAACATGTATGGATTTATTCCCTCTTTTAAAGGACACCCATTACTTTTATCTCCTAGAATTTGTCCGATCTTGCATTATTTATGGCTATGATACACCCACCATTAAATGATCAGCAATACCATTTTAGACTGCAGTCCAGCTGTTAATTTAACTCGTTCAAAGCCCTCACATTCAAATTATTTGCTCAATGGATTGCACCTTGTAAGTCTGGATAGATATTTTCCTTACAATGACACATTGTACCTGCATGGCCCTTGCAGCCTTGCAAAGCAGTTTTTCAATGACCTGTCACGTTACAAGATATAATTATAATAACTGGCATATTTTCATGAGTTAAGAATAGGCTACAATTCCCATGTACACTGAAATAGCATAACTTTTCTCTGCTGAGCACGTGGCAGATGCTAGAATGTGAGGAGTGGAGGCAGATTTATGTTGAATCAAGTGCACTGACAGAACTGGATTTTCCCACTCCTCTTTCCCATGACAGCCTCCCCATCCTTCAAGTACTTGAAAGGCTGACACAAAGAGGAAGGGCAGGATCTCTTCTCTATCATCCCAGAGTGCAGGACACGGAATAAAGGGCTCAAGTTACAGGAACT